CAACAAATGATCTCTTCTTCCCATATCTCATCTCTTATCTATAAACAAAACTTGAAAGCCTCGTCATTCAGTCCTAATCGTCAAAAGTCCATTAAGGGTTACCAGCGATAGCAACATATCTATTTTAAGATATGTTAAACTTTATCTTAACTTTATATTCTTTTCCTTTACTTTTAACTCAACTTTATATTCTTTCCCTTTACTTTTAACTATCTTGGTCTTTAATCCCTTCAAATAATGTCCTAGAACTTGATTTCTTTTTCTTTTTTCTTTGTCTCTTCTCACAAAACCCTTCAAAACTTTAACAGGTCTCTTTTGTAAATCCAGTATAGGAAAGTTATCTGTGATGGAATGTATCTATGAAGAGAAGGGTGATGTGAGAGATCAAGGCTATCAGGAAGGAGGGGATGCATTCCAGGAGGGGAAAGGAGACAAAAGACAACACAGTCCGCAGGGGGAGTGTGGGAAGTGAAAGAGGTTCAGGACAGTCACTCCCTAGAATCTCCCATGGTATATCCACTAGATGCAGTAGTATAGATTACTCTGGCAAGATTCTGTCTATAAGGTATAAGCAAGTAAAGGAACTTTACTCAACTGGACTGTTCCACTGTTGTTCTTGGACTGAGCCTGACATTATCCAAGTCACTCTTCTGGTTTGTTATTTGTATGTCCCTTTTAATTATTAAGACATCAGATGCTTTCATTGGTATATCCAGTATATAATCTTTTTTCCAGATCATCCTTATAGTCTGTCATTTTTAAATCCATGTTCAAAAGAGTTTCAGTCTTATCTGGTAGAACATCGTTTACACATAGTCTATCTATAATGGCAGACATTCTTAAAATTAACTTCTGGGTCCATTGTTCACAAATATCCTTCAATATGTCCAATGTTAAAGTATTTTGCTCCATTCTATTAGCAAGTCAAATTTAAGTATACTTAGCCTTTAATTGTAATCTTCCTTCTGGTTCCCTCTAATGTCCAAACCTCAAAGTCTCATCCTGTCATTTTTTTTTTCAGAATTCAAAACAACAGCCATTTCCCGTGGGAAGGATTCTTATAATTAATTTCAAAATTAAAAAATAGCCACTTTGGGTAGTGGTTAAGGCACCAGGCTAGAAATAGGAGACTGTGAGTTCTAGTCCCACCTTAGGTATGAAAGGTCACCCAAGTACAAGTTTAAGGACTTAGAAAAAAATTCCGGGGGAGGAATAAACAACAAAAGGGTGATTAGAGTGTTGTTTTTAGAAAGTTATAAAGAGACTGAGGGTTCAGATGGATTTGAAATATTTTTTTAGATATTTTTTATGTTCCCTTTATTATTTTTTTTATAAATAACTCAAGGAAGCAAACATACCTAAAACTTCTTCCTCCTGTTTTCCCCACAACAACTCTGTAAGGTGAGTTGGGCTGAGAGAGAGGGGTTTACCCGGTGGGGGGGGTTTGGGGTAATAACCTCTTTTTTGCCCAAACACCCTTATCAGGTGTTTGTGGGGGGAAAAGAGGGGGGAGGGTTTTGTG